TGGATGCCCCGGTCCACCACGGCAATGGTTGCGGTTCTCGGGCCGCTTCGTCCGGTGCACGGCTTCCGCGGGCAGCTCCCGGTCCAGCGTGAAGTCGTTGTCCAGGTCTGTTTGTGACCACCCACAAAGTTCCCATCGTCCCCGTCAGCTCCCGCGCGGCGCGCTTGGTGGCCCGGCCCACCGTCTCGGCGTTCTTGTTCTGTAGAGGTTCCACGGAGCCTCCCGGGTAAAGACGATTACCACCAGGCACCCGGGTGTTCTGGCTGAAGTCGATGAGGTCGCAGCCGGTCGTTCGGCCCCTCGGCGGCCGACTTGCCCAGCGCGCGGGGCCGGGGTGCCTGCACCTCCGGCCCACGTCTTCAGCGCCTCGAAGGCCATGGCTGCCGGCCGGGCCTACAACGCGCGGCCCCACGAGACGGTGCACGGCGCGCCCGAGAACGTGGAGAAGCAGCCGATGAAGATGCGACGACGATGGACGACGATGACGATGGTCACAGTTGTTTTTTCGACGACGATGATGATGGGTGAGGGATGATGATGACGATGATGATGATGGTTTTAGATGATCGATGGATGCTGGACGATGAGGACGATGATGAAGATGATGATGCTGCTGATGCTGAATGATGACTGGTGGATGATTGATGAAGGATGATGATGATGCTCTGCAGTTCCGGTTCTGAAGCTTGACGCGGTGCCCCTGTCTCTTGTCGTAATAGTAGTACAAGTACTACTACTAGTTGTATTAATAGTAGTAGTAGTAGTAGCAGCAGCAGCAGCAGTAGTAGTAGTAGTAGTAGTAGTAGTAGTAGTAGGTTATGAATAAGAACAATTGTAGCAATAGCAACAGTAATAACAACGGTACTGTTGGACGGACTGACGCCCGTCGGGCGAGCGCGTAATAATGATGATGCGATAATAAATGATGAATGATGAGCGATGGACTTTCGTTGCGCAACTAACAAGTCAATCTCATGCTTGAAACTGCCAAAGCCATAACAAGTCAATCTGACCGCTCTCACAAGCCAATCTGATGCTCACAAGTCAATCTAGTGCTCCTCGCAAGCCAAACAAACCCCTCTCACAAGCCAACCCAAAAACGAACAAGCCAATCCAACCCTTTCACAAGTCATTTTCATAACTTCAAATCACAAGCCAGTCTGATGCATCCCGCAACCCAAGTTGATGAGCAGACCGTCGGTGGCAGTTTCTCCAAAACACAAATTATTCGTCACGTGTTGTCACTAGATACGCGACCAGACGTGACGCGAGGAGACGAGAGACGTGGCCAGAGTTGTTACAAGAGACCTGTCAAGGGACGTGACCAAAAACGTGACCAGCTACGTAACGATAGATGTGACAAGTAACGTTGTTACGTGAGACGCGATAAAGGACGTGACCAAAGACGTGACTACGAGACGTGACCAAGGAAAAAAAGAAACACGTGACAAGAGACGCTGTTACGAGAAACTTGGACACATGAGAAAGACCACAAAAGACAGAACGGAGAGTTGACGGACGTGACGTGAGAGCGCTGTGTTGAAAATTGTCATTTCGGCAGACGTGAAAAGGACGTGACCAAAAACGCGACAAGAGATGTGACGAGAACAAGCGAGAGGTTACCAGAAACGGGACAGCAAATACGATAGAAGACGTTTGACGGTCATGACATAATGACCCTCACCATGTCTCTTCTCACACGTCTCTTGTCACAGGAGATGCTGCGCAATCGTGACGAGAGGCGTGCGAGTCAAGACACGTGATGAAAGATAAGATGAAAGTTATTGTCACGACAGACGTGACAAAGGACGTGACCAAAGACGTGACCAGAGGCGTGACGATGGATGTGATGGATGTGACAAGAAGAGGCGTGCGAGGAGAGTTGTGACAAGACGCGAGACAAAGGGTGACCAGAGACGTGACGAGAGATGCGACAAGTCGCGTCTTTCTTGGAGATCCTGTCGCGTGCGTCGTTGCCCCTCGCATCACATCTCTGGTCACGTGTCTTGTCACGACCCTCGCCACGTCTCTTCTCATATTTGCCATCCCATCTCTGGTAACCTCGCCGTGTCACGATCCTTGTCACGTCTTGTCGCATCGCTCGTCACGTCTCTTCTCACGGCTCTCCTCTTCTCACATCCATCGTCACACCTCTCTGGTCACGTCTGTTGTCACGTCTTTGGTCACGTGTTTTGTCACGTCTGTCGTAACAGCTTTGGTCCCGTCTCTCGTCATCACTTTGAACGCATCTCTCATCATGTGTCTCGACGCGCCTCACGTCACGACTCCGTCACATCTCCCGTCCTGCCTTTCGTGGTTTTTCTCATGTCTCTCACGACCCTACTTTCGTGTCACACCCCTCATCACGTGTTTCGTCACGACTTGCAATCTCAAAATGTGCTCCACGCCACGGCGAAAGCGATTTAGCCCACCCAAAGTGCCTCAGAGGGTTCGCGGTGCAATCTCAAATTGCGCACCGCGCCACAGCGAGATCGATTCGGCTTTTTAATGCCAATGGCAGGCCAACTCATTCGCTCTTTTGAGCGGAGAGTCCAGAGCTGCCGCTACAAACGCAAGTGTTGAATTTTGAGAGGCAAAATTTGTTTGGGTGGAGTTCGTCTTTGCGGAATTTTGTTTGAGCCTCAGGACTGTTGAAATCTCAGAAGACGCGTGTGTGGAAAGTGAAATTCCATGTCTTCAGGTTTTCAAGGAATTTCAAGGCGGGGTGCTAAACCTTGCACGTACGTACTGTAGTGCACGTTGACTAGGTTGCATGTGATTACCGCTGTAAAACACCATTTAGCGAGTTAGATTCCCTTTACCGAAGAGGCATTAGACAGCTCAAAAATGGTAGCAGGATTGGTTTTCTATGGCCGCTTGATGTGTGTTTTGCATCGGTTTGAAGCGCTGCTTGATCTGTGTTTCGACTTAAGGCCAGCTGACAAGTGTGAGGCGTGTTTTAGGGTTTTGAGTTTGAGTGTTAAGGGCGAGGCTTGAGTTTTCACTTGTTTGAGACAGGCTTTCTTTTTTGGGAGATTGAGGCGGCGCGTAAGTTCGATGGGCGACGCTTGCAGGACCAACTTCAAGTTGAGCAAAAGTTCAGCGAAGGATTGCCAAGCATCTCCCACTGAAGAAGCGCTTTTTGATCTTATGTAAAGCCATTGCTGCTCTTGCCTGACCAAGACCAAAGACACACTGAACCGTGACAATTGCGGGTGCAACTCTGCTGTTTCAACTCTGTCCAAACAAGGGCAAAGCAATACAACAGTTCCAAATGACGGTTTTGCGCTTTGCGGGCGTCTGCGCTTTGGAAAATAGGGTCGGTGGGGCCCTGAAAGGTCGTTGAGTTGTGATGTGCTCCTTCCATGCAATGCGGGTTCGAGGGTGGTAGGGGTGACGTAGGTGGGCGCCTGCCAGGCAGGTTTGAGGTAGATCTGATTGTAGGCGGTTCGTAAAATTTGTTGGCGTGGCCCTGCCAGGGTCAGAAAGGTTGTAGGTGTGGTTTGCCATTCGGGTCTGGCATTTTTATGTTTTTAAAGGTCCAGTCCTCCTGGTGGCGATGTAGGCGTGCAGAGGAAACACGCAACAACTCATGAGAAAGGTTCCGGTGTTTTGCGCCGCGTTGTGCCGTTTTGGAGTCGACCAGCCTTTCTTTCTTCGAAAGGTGTTTCGAATCACCAGAGCGACTTTCACCGCCTCGGCTCAACGTTGAAGGCTTTCACGGGTGGCTGGCTTGCAAGAGAGGGTAAACAGAAAAACGGCAGTGGCACCACACTTTGCAAAACCTTCAAATTGAAGGGCAGAAGGCAGCGCTGGGAAGGTTGCATCAATCATCTCTCTTGTTTTACTCCGTGAGGCGCGTGCACGCCGGAGATCGAAATGGCTGATCTTGCCCGCACTGTCCCAGAAAAGCTTGAAGGGACGGATGAGTGCAAAGCTGGCCCGGAGAGAAGGCGTTAAAGCGGTCAGACAGAGCAGTCTCGGACGCAGACGCCAGCTTGGCAGTCTGCCTTCGGAGTCTTTGCAACTTTGCAACCGCTCAAGGTCTCCAAGCACAGTGCAGTCCTGCCATTTTTGTGTGCACTTCGTGTTAGGCCACCCAGGTTGAGTGTCAGTCCAAGAAGCAGCGTAGCTTGCAGCGGAGCGTGCACGCCCAAAGGATAAGGGGATCTTACGCCTACAATCCGATGTGTGGCAAACCCCTGGCAGCTATTCCGGGGTTTGGGACATTTGGACGAGGTGCAAGTTGGCTGAAAGATGCCCTGTTTTCTTGAACCAATGCAGCTGATTTAGAATGCTTTGCCAGGGAGATCTGGCGGATTAGTTTTTGCCATATGGGCGGCTCGTCTTTCTTTTGATGCTCGGTACGCCTTTATACCGTGGCTTCAAAGGAGGAGAAACCAAAAGCAAAACCACCTTTTTGTGGGTCGCATGGGCAGTCTGAGCTGCTTTACTGAGCCAGGCTTTGTTGATCAAAGATTCCTGGCATTGGAGTGTCAATGTGTTGCAATGCTTGAGCAAGACATTTAGGCAAATAGAGTCGGACCTGCAACCCACCTCTGGTCTGCAGTAGGTTTCTTTCAAGACAGCCCCCATTCCCGGACCCTGATGAATGAATGACTCGGTTTTGACAAAGAGCCCGCTGACTCTGGCAGCCTCCGTGGCATTGCACCGGTGGCTACCGAAATTCCTTGAGCAACCAGTCAGAACCTTCGCCCGTCCGATCTGTCCTGTTTTATTCTCCACCACGCTGGTGCGTCAAACTACCTGCCCAAGTGCGTCTTGCGATGTGCGCAGAACATGCTCGGACCATCTATATCAAAGTGCGCTAACTTACTTGCCAAGGTATCAATCCTACTACGCAGCTTTCTTCCGAAGTATCCCTTGATTGGACCAACGCTACAAAGCAACCAGGATGGAAGCCAGAAATGCGCAAGGCACAAATCAAGACCGGATAGCCTGTTGGATGTCAACGACAAACCATGTGTGTCTTTTTTTGAGGAAAGTTTAGAGAGACAGCCTCGCAGCCATGCTTCTTCGCCTAGTGAAGTGGGACTTGTCATCTCACTTGGATTACCCTGAGCTGCAGCGTCTTCGTTGCCTGGACCTTGAGTTTAAGTCTGCTTGCGACCCCAAGCTGTGCCGAGCTGCAGCCGGCTTCGCCCAGCGGCGGGTGGTGCAGCCCTTGCTTGAAGCGGTGCTGAAGCCTGGGCGATGCACAATCACGGATCTCATCAGGTACTACACAAAGGAACGCCCGGCCTGTAGCTACATCTTGAAAGCCAAGAACTTCAGCATTCCAGCAGAGGAGGCCTTTATTCGGGTGCCTGGAATGACACACTCCGCAGAGCTCTGCGTAGTGGGGCTGCAGAGTGAGGATTCCGCGCACTCGGTGGCAGAGCGACTATTGAGGATGTTTCAAGAGCAGTGTCTCGCATGGCGCGAGAACCCAGAAACAGTGATCAGGGGCTCTTTCATTGGCCCTGAGCATATGCCACCTCGGACCTTGGAGCGGCCCGGATGGCGTGACTGGGCCTCCTTCACAAGTCAATTTCCATGGAAAGACGCCACTTCTGAGGAGACGCAGGGGCCAGCCTTTCGAGCTTACTGCCTGCGGAGTAATCGACATATCTATGAGGAGATTGATGGCAAATGGTTCAGTCGAAGTAACGAGACTTTGAAGAAGCCCATCGTGGTACCTGCCGGACTCTACTTCGATTCTGAGCTCCTACTCACAGCTCGATATTTCTCTACCATGAAGTCCTATGCCGATCACAAAGCCTTGACGGTGAAGCTTCGCTTCCTTTGTGACGATCTAGTGCTGCAAGCAGCCATCCAAGAGCTGCGAGCCTAAAGGAGACTGGGACTTTGGAAGCTGGGTCATGAGGACGGGAGGTTGCTTTACCCATGCAAGGTTCGGACATGTTCATGACCGAGCATCGTTGAGGAGAGTCTTCCAAGTGCTCGGCCTCGCAACGCTATACTCTACTGGTCATGCTTCGGAGTTCTGTTCTGGTTCTCTTCTTCTTTTGCGCTTGGGATGAACATGGCTTTCCGCCCCAACGCTGGATGTCTTCCTCGTGGGTAGGAGGAGCTGTTGCGTCTTAGCCTCGTGCCAATCTTCGGCTGCTAGGGGTTGACGCTGGAGGTCAGATGGAACTTGAAATCCAGAATGTACCATTCAAACATGCAAACCACACAATGCAATACAATTCTGTGTATTTATGTACTGTACTGTCATTAACGGATCATATGCACTACAATATGTATATACATACATATATTAATACATATATGTATATGCCTTGTACATAGGATGTGAAGATGACTATCGCAAACGTCACACTTCTGTTTGAGTTGAAGGAGCTGAGCTATGAATGCCAGCAGCGGTGCCTCGAAAAGGTGCTTTGTAAAAGCCCCTGCCTGTGAACGCGGAACTTGACGTTTTCTTTTGAAGTGTGGCAATTTATCTTTGCCCGGGTTTTTCTCAAAGTAAGGGGGCCCCCAAAAACCGGTGGTTTTATTTGGATTTCCCCTTCTGAGCGAAAAGGCAGCTCCGGGCTTGGTGCCTCATGTCCTGTTGAGATCACTCCGGGCCGCAGGAACCCAAGTTCCAAGGTTTGGTTAAACGCGCGGGAAGAAGTTCGAGCTTCGAACAGGTCGCTCCGAGGCCCCGTTTTGTTTTTTGGGGGTGTCTCTGAAACATGCCAAGCGTTCGAGTGCACAACCCACCTGAAGGGAAGACAACGAGCTTCAAAAGCCATGGTGACCTCCCAACAAAGGTGTCTTTCTTTGGGGGGGCCCTCCAAAGGCTGGTTTTCCAGTTGGTTTGGTTCCCTTCAACATCATTCCAAAAAGAGCACCCTCAACAAAGCGAGACCCATATGGTGCATTGAATGAACACAGGCTTTGTTGCTCCAGGTCAAGTGGTAGGATTAGCTGGCCTTATGCAGCTGTTACAGAACCTCACCACATCTATGGCGACTAACGCCCTTTCACTTGGGGATGAAAGACTACCAAAGGCTGGGCAACCAGATTTGGGTCCATGGGAGCCTGTTGGGTTCTTTGAAAGAGGCACCACAGGGAAACCACCTGTTTTGCACAATCTGTACATGGAAACCATATTTGTTTGTTTTGTTTGCCAGGGACACCATCTTTTCTTTTTTTTTTTTTTAAAGCAACACACTTGCCAGACTTTGTGACACGCCCCCTATGTTATTTTTCTTCTTCTTCTTCTTCTTCTTCTTCTTGTTTTCGGGTTTCCTGGGAGGGCTTTGGCATTCTGCTGATCTCGAACTGCAAGCCCCAGTCGCTCAGCTCGAGCTGCCCGATTCGACTCACCCGAGAAAGCGAGACTTGGGGGTGCCTATGGGGCAGGAGATCTGGCCATGGGTAAGCCCGGTTAGCCCCCAGTGAACATCCGATTCAATCCCCACTAAAATAGGTCCTAGAATGGGTGCTGCACCTACCCGAAAAATGGTGCCATTGGTTTTGACCCACAGCCATCTGATAAGGCGCTTGTTTGAAAGCACGAATGATCTCCGGTCTTCTTTCTCACTTGCTGATTGGCCACGGATGTAAGATGGAAAGCCCCACCCACGTGAGGACGGCCATTTTTTATTTTATTTTTTTCTTCTCTTAATGTTCCGAACTTCTTGGCGGTGCCTGGGATGGTCTTCATTTACTTATAAGCGGGCGGATCTTGGCGGTGCCTGGGATGGTCTTTATTTGCTTATAAGCGGGCGGACGCGCTTATGATTGCTGATGATGTCACGCCATGGGTGCTTTGGATCACTGCCCATGGTTTGCCCTTTCCACGCGCAGTGTCAACTCGCGTGGGTTCAGTGCAGGCAGCTTCTCTGCGACATGGGCCAACGTGCTCCGCCATTCTTGGTGATTGGCGCGGGCACGACTCTTGGTGCGATTTCCATGTCGGATTCTCGCCTTGCTAGGACTTTGCAGTTTGCTTTTTACTGGGGACCCCGCTTGCGTTTGGAAACTCAGCGAGGATATGCTTTGTATCTTGTGGTCTCTGAGGTGGCGCTCATACGCGGATCCGGGCATGGCCATCTCATTGGTGGAACAAGATGTTCTTCCCGGGACCAATGGGAAAAGATCTGTCGGCAACGGAAAGCGCCTCGACTCGGTGGCTCGAAGCGTCTGGGGTTTGATGGCGCAGGCTCTAAGCGCATCCATATCCTCGTGAACGGGCGCCCGGCCATTGAATGTGAACCGCAGCTGTTCCAGGCGGACGACTCGGGAACAGTCTCTCGAGTGCGGGTTTTGGCTTGGGTCGCCCATTTTTGGACTATGGACCTCTTTTCCGCTTTGGCTCGTGTTTGCCGCGGTTGCTTTGATCGATGACTCGTCTTTGTTCTTGCCGCTCTTCTTGTTGTTTGATCTGTGTACGGCGTTTGCCTTTGTCCCTTATTTGCAGTGGGGTTCCTCCCGATCCCCAACTTATTTGCGGGTGAGCCTTCTCTACCTTACATGTTCCCACTGACGGTGTTTGTCGACTTGCAATGCTGCTCCAGGTGCTGAGTTGTCCGTCACTTTGATGATGTTTTGTCTGGCTTGTTTTCGTTTTAGGCATACCTCTGTCGATGGGCTTGACTCGTGCGTGTCGTGGGTGTTTTTTTTTGCGCACTCTGGGTGGCCACGGCTTCTTTAAGGTCCTTCTGCAACGCCCGAGGTGCGAACCTAGAATATTGCCACTTTCCACTTCAGCTCTGGGTTATTTGGCGGACGACTCTTGATTTCTGGTGATGCGAGAATGTGCTGCGGGAAATGATTGTTGCCCACGTCGCGATGCCTTTGTGGATATGCTCATGACAGCCTATTTATATTTTTTACAGGCAGTATTCAACAGACCTGAACTTTGATGATATGTGGCGTACTGCGTGGTCGCTCCCGATTTATATTGGATGCACAGATATTTCATGCCTTTTGACGTGCGGTTGGACATGCCCTACTATTTGCAGGATATTCGGGCGCCCTTGCCTCGGCGTACATGATTGCACATTCCTTTGCTTGGCATTGCGCAGGCGATGTCGGCTGCGTTTTCTTGGCTCATGATTGTGGTGGTACTGCCGCGGTGATTGGATGTTTGCTTTATTGTAGTCTTCCATACATAGGCGCTGGCGCGGCGCATAATTCATTGGGCATTTTTGAATTCACTCGAATTCATTGCTCAATCGCTTTGGTCTTTCTCCGGCTTTTCATTGGCAGGACTTTTACCTGATGGCTTGTGGCGGATCTCGCTTCACGGTCCCGTTTTTCTTCTCCCTCCCCGTTCTGCACTCTTTGCTTCGGCTCTTGCTTGCGGAGCTGGTGTTACTTATTTTTGTCTGGTTTGGTTGAGACATACGTCTCCCAGACTTTTTCGCTTTTCGGGCAGTCCTGACCTGACTGCCTAGGCTCCCATTGCGGTGCTGACCTTTTGCGGCTTGTCTGGTAGCGGCATTTGTCTCCTAGATTCTGTCTATCTTTCTTTTTGCATTGACCGATGCAGTTGATGCTCGATGATTGTTGTGTTGTGTTGGCTTGCTTGGCTTTGGTTCTGTTTGTTCTGTGTTTGCTTTCTTTCTTCGGCCTTTTCATTCTATGTCTTTCTCCGCTGAAACAGCGGACTGGCGTGATCGCAGTGGCTGCTCGGTTCAAACAAAAACGGTGGGCAACGCTTTGCCACCAAGCTCGGCTCTGGCCGACGCTGAGCATTTTCTAGAGCGCGTAGCCGCTGCTTCTCGCAGTGGGCATTGCTTCCTACCTGCAACATCCAAGGAACTAGATGTCACTGTAGCGTTGATTTGAAAACTCGCCTTTTTGTTTTTCTCGTTTTAGAATCGCTGATTCTTATTGTCTCACTCCAGAATTTTGCGTCCCGTGACCCAACGATTTTCCAGGGTTTGGACGACTTGCGTGCAGATAAGACATTCTTAGTCGTTTTGCCAACGCGACTTCTGCAGACGTGTTATGCCACTTGATCACTTGAGCATGCCAAGCTAAGCAAAAACATTGAGAACCTCACGACTGACCAATTCAGAAATGGCTGGACGCTGTTTTGAAACTTCGGCGCAGGCCCACGGCTGTGTACGTTTGTGCCAGCAAAAAAAGACATCTTTTCCACAGTTGCGTCAGTGGAACGGCGGCTGCTTTCCGCGCTGGCCGAACAAAGTAAATGCTCGGTCTGCCTTCTTCGCATTGTTTGCTCGCATCGCAGCCTAGGTGTCGGCGAGGAGACGGTTGCGTCTGCTGGCAGCTATCCTAGAAGACCTCGCAGAAGAGTTGGTGCAGCAGTTGTTGCTTTGAGATACTTTGCCTCACAATGAGGTGACTCTTGCATCCGCGAGTTTGTTTGTGTGCTAAACTACTAGGTTACAGCGTCACGAGGCGCCTGGCACGAAATGAGTGTGCCATTACAAAACCCACTGGAGCGGCCGGGCGTACTGCAAGTGCATCTTTTTAGCACTTCACTACTTTCGGAGCAGCATTTGACATGTATTCACAGGGCAAACAAGGTTTGAAATGCCTCCAAGAACTTCGTAGGGCTTGGATTGCGCAAGCTCTTGCGCCATGCCCACTGCATGCCGGAGACGGAGCCTGTCATTGACAGCACTGTCGCCGTCCACAGAAACTTTCTTGCGAATCTGCTTGGGAACAAAGCTTTTCAAGCTTTTCCACTCAGCATCTAAGCACTGAGTCCGCCCTTGCACGGCAAGGATTTCTTGACCTTGCAGTGCAACTCTTTACAATATTCTCGGTTCTGATGCGACACCTGGCAAACGGGGATTTTCAAGCTCTTGCCGGCTGTTTCCCATGCGCGAGCTCCATCTGCGTACAGCGCACTGGTTTTCTTTGTGTTGATCCGGGGCAACAAGTGGCTATCCCGGATTTCTGCCCAAGACTCGCGACCGCGGAAGGGTTACCTAGTCAACATGCACAAAGTAAAGTCGAAACGTTTGTTTGTCTCGATCCATGGCAGGCAAGAAAGAACAACACGATACAAAACTGCACATCAATATGGGCCAAAATGTCCGAGCTCTCCAATGCAACCACATTGCAGTCGACAAGTGTAGTATTGCCCCCCCCCCCACCCCCCCCCCACCCCCCCCCCCCCCGACCCCCCTGTGCATCGTGTTTGTCGGGGAGGCACGAAATAACCAGGCGCCTGGCAGCCCTGTTGCCAACTACTTGTCCAGTCCCATGGTGGGAGCGACCTTGTGTTGGCCTTCAAGCTGTGACAATCTTCTCTGCTTTGCCAGCAAAAAGGTACAGCGCATGGGTTAACGTCTAGACGCCGCAATGCGTGTCGGTCGCTGTGCAACCTGCGAGGTGGGTGTGAAATGACGCTTGAAAGTGTTTGTACCGTGGTGAAAATTTGTCATAACAGCTGTGCTGCGTGCTTGAAGCTTGCCACATTGCTAGTGTTGCGTGCTTAGACAACGATGGGTACAAGTGCACAGTTGCAGGTTGATCAGATCGTTTGCCGGTTTCGCCAAAACCAGCATTTTAGCCTCGCTGCATGAAAAGGCATGATGTGCTGTTGCTAATTGCGATTTGCCAATCGCTGGTTTCATTGCAACAAACGGTTGGGCATGTGCGCATCAGGTTTACTGCGACTTGCTATTGTGTCTATTTTGTTGACTCCGGGAAAAGATAGGTCGACAACTGTTATGGGCACATATTGCGGCGCCAATAAGCACACAAATGGGCATCAAACTGCGCAGAACAGCAAATGGTAGAGTGTTGATGTCATTTCAGTGCGCCAACGGATTTGTTTGGCATGCTCCAGCACGAACAATTGCCTGGCGCAGAGCAAGTTAGGCCTCTGAAGGTGGATGTGTGTGTGTGTGCAACACCGAACCAGAGAGCCGTTTTCAAGCGATAGGGGCACGGAGCCGTTTCCCTGGCCGTCGCCAGAACCTCGGCTAGGGTGCCTTTTTTGTTTGTTTGTTCCCAAACGAAGACGATATTTCGTGACTGTGGACAACACACATCCACCCAGAACGCCACACATCCACTCATTGCTTCGCCCTTTATCCCCAGGCGCCGGATGAATCTCAACCCTGAGGCCTATGTGAAAGAGCGGGGCAAACGCGTCCGCAAGGCGGGGTGAGGCTTGGTGGCAAGGGGTCATTTTTCCAAATCAAGTGCGAAGAGTTGGGGTTGATAGCCCTATGAAGTGCTCCCTTTCCATCGGCCAAAAAGTGAATGGGAACATTTTGAATTGGGTTTGGGTTTCCCCTGAACGCTTCGCCCCAAACTCAAACCCAATTGACGCACATTTCTCTGAGCGCAGGTCCAATTTACTCTGTGTGCATCACAAAAGGGCACTCCCCAAACTGGTTGGCTTCCCTTTGAGGCCCCTTCAAGCCAACCCAAAGAACAGGGGAAAGAAGGACTTACAATTCAGCACTTAGCGGGCTTTTCCCATGGTTCAGCCCACCCTCCAAATGTGTTGTTATTCTTGGTTTCCTTTTCATTCCCCGACAAGGAAGGTTCATGCCAGTGATAGAAGCGCGGCGGCGCGACGCCAGATCCTGATCTCCAACAATGGAATGGCCATCAAGGCGATTCTCTCCATGAGGAGGCAGCAATCGAAAAAAAGTGGCTGCTCGATCTCTTAGGATCTTTCCGTTTCGGGGTTGGCCCAAAAGGGATAAAAGCAAAACCAAAGGGAATTCCAAGGGAACACCAACACGACCAGTTTGTGGGTGTTCGGTAAAAAACACCCAGATCTGGTTCTTTTATGCGCAACCTCGAAATGGATATCAACTCGTGGCTCCCTTGTCTTTGAGTTGGGTACCAAAGTTGGTGTTGCACAAAGCCAGCCAAACCTTGGAACCTGTAGCGACAGTTGCCGAAGTGAGGTAGAAAGCAGGTTTTCTGAAGCAATGCCAAGATAGGTCTCCATTTGGGATGGCGCAAAATGAAAACCCCAAATTTGTGTCATTTTGGGTACCATATTTTTAGCCAGACCCAATTGAAGAGTAAGCAAGGCTATTACTGTACTAGTTGATCAGTGTACCACTCCTGTGCATGTGTGCTTCCTTTGAGGGGCAATACTTGCCAGAAAGGATAATCCACACAGCGGCCACCGGAAGGATGAGCCCTGCAAAGGGACTTGTTCAGGCAGTGGTCATCACAGCATCAGCTTATTTTGTGCCGGCGAAGCGTGGTGGGTTAGTGTATTTTTCAGCTTACAAGATTAAGTGAACTGGGGTGCTCGCAGGTTGCTTCTGGCTGTCTTGCCGTTTGAGAAGAGAGACCCTAGCACTAAATGCACAGACCCTTGTTGCAAACTGATGTTCTTGGAGATGCGCTCCTGTACACTTCCATGTTGGCGGGACCAGTCGGATCTCACTTTGAAGATGTGTGGGGAGTTGTCAAGGGTTGCACGTCGGTTTTCCCTTGCAGCTAAGTGAAGCGAAGCTTAGGAGGCAGTTGCAACCTGAAAAGTGGTTGCGGCCGCCCTTTTGACTCTGAACATGGTTTTGGATGGACCTTTCTAGCACCCGACTTCGGAGTTTTTGGCCCAGGTGGCCTCCCTAGACCTCAACGCCAACGCAGAGCTCAGGCGCCTGGCCGACTCTTTCATTGAGGCGCCTTCCTCCGAGAGGGCGACTGGATTAGTTTTCTTTTTGGCGAGTGGAGGGACACCATAGCGAAACTAGCGATTGGGAAGCTCATGGTTACACTGGTTAATACTGAATAGCCATTTTTAAAACTACAGCTTTCTGGTCGACCATTTTATTGGCAGCCACATATGCCTCTATTTCTGATATTGCTTGTTTTCTTGGTTTGGAGGTCGCTATGTTATCAGCTTCATTATGCTGCTGCATCATCATCATCTTCATGATCATGATCATCATCATTATAGTAATGATCATCATCATCGTCATCATCGTCATCATGATCATCATCATCATCGTCATCATCATCATCATCATGCTGTTTGCAGCATCCTTTTCGTTCGTCGCTCTTTGCGTCTGGGGTGGGGCCACCAAGGTGCTTCGGGTGCAAACTCAGCTGTTAACATAGGCGGGTTGCTGACATGCAAGCGTCAAGCAGGAGGTCCATGATCTTTCTGTGGATGCTTTTTGAGACTGGAGCCAAGAAAATACTTAGGATTGGTTTGGGTGCAAAGCGACCCCCCCCCAAAAAAAAAGAGAGATTATGATTGGGGATCCACCCCTCATTTCGAACAGCCCAGTTGTACAGGTCATATTTTGAGAAGACGCTCAGTTTGAAACGTTGCGCAGCACGAGAAGAAGCAATCATGACTCCATCAGGTTGACCTACCCTCGCCCTTGTGAGCCAGCAGTGCCGTTAACTCAGACACCACCGTGTTTCATTCTGATGTCCAGTGACATCATGTTGGATGAGCAGTGCCCAAGACCCTTGGCCAGCTTTAGCAAGGACCTTGGAGACTGGGGATTTGATGCTTCAACACCTGGGTTTCATTTTGTTTTGGCTTTGGTAAATCTTAAGCTTGGAGAGAAAGCCGAAGCGAACCCCGAGCATTTTGAAGACATACAGGAAACCTGCGCACTTTGAACGCCATTCTTGGAACCCGAGCGTCTCCGTCGTCATTGTAGCCCTCTTGAGGTGCCCTCCGCACTGAACGCTGAACAACCACGGCAATGTGGACCTTATCTGCCGCTGGCCTCGTCTCGATGGGGGAACAACCCAGAACGGCAATGGAGTTGGGCCGTTATGTATGTGTATATGTTGGTATGTCGCATAGATTTGGATCCAAATGAGCAAATATTCAACATGTACTTTGAATTATACTGAATGTAGAGGGGCCGAGGGGCCTGACTGTGGTTTTGGTTTCATGGGGGAGAGCTTCTTTACGTACTATCGGTCCAAATCACCGCCAAGATTTTGGCCATTAGTAGTAGTGGTGGTGGTGGTGGTGGTGGTGGCAGTGGCAGTGGCAGTTGCAGTGGCAGTGTAGAAGTAGTACAAGTAGTAGCAGCTGCCACAGCAGCAGCAGCGAGAGGAGCAGCAGCAGCAGCAGCAGCAGCAGGTTTGGTAGTGGTAGTGGTACTTGTAGTGGCGGTGGTAGTGGTAGTGGTAGTGGTAGTGGAAGTTGCAGTCGTAGTAGAAGTAGTAGGAGTAGGAGTAAGAGTAGAAGTAGAAGTAGAAGTAGTAGTAGAAGTAGTCGTGGTGGTGGTGGTGGTGGTGGTGGTGGCGGCGGTTCCCCTTTTCGGAGTTTGGGTTTCAAGCTACTTTGTAAAAGCATGAGCATAAGATGCATACTGTTACTTATATTGGGTTTACCGAACAGGGACAAAAACGAGTGGTTCCATGCATGATGACGATTCGCTATTAGAGATTCAGTGAACATTAGTAACTCGAGCAGAGTCTTGAAGGCAGACTGAGTCAAGCCCTTTGGTGAAAGATCAAGATGACCGTAAAGTTCTGAAAGAGATGGACACCATGCACGTATTGACCATTTCCTGACGTAGGACTTGCCTGGCTAAACTTGCGTTGCACAATCTGAGACCGCGCATGCAGAGTCTTGATGCTGCGTGGGTCATCAGACGAGTTGATGGCAAGGAGGAATACACGAATTCGCAATGCTTTGTCCCGAAGTGCGCTTTGACGTGTGCTGTGTGTGGGATGTCAACCTTCTGAGGATTTGAGCCGTGTCAGAGATGGGCTTCCTAGCAGCCTTGTACGCATGACCTTCAAATGTGGAAATACCAGAAGGTATGATGAGAAACAGCTGATACAACAAAGTATGGCCTGATGATGTTTAGCCTGGCCTACTTTGCGTTGCAGTCCATAAAATGCACTTGGTCGCAAGGGTTGGCAAGTTTCCCACCCTTGGGGTTCCCTTTGCAACAACTCCAAAACGGGTACCATTCAAGAATTATCAAAAACACGACCAGATGTTTGGCCCCGCTTGTGCACCCGCACCTGTGAGACGTGTGTTGGGCGCTCGGCTGAATTGTTGAGAATAGCAAGGAGGGGAACATGGGAAGCCTTGTAAATGGCCGCAATGTGCCAGGATTTTGTTGTAGGTTCCCTTGCAACATATAGGGTATATATTGATTGTGGAAAGTGAGGAGCGCGTTTTACTTGCTGGTGAGTAGGGAATTCAGGGGTTGTCGTAAAGGAAACCACCGAGGGTTTAAAGGGTTCATTCCAACTCATTCCCGACTGAGCACCAGCAAGTTTACCATATGCCACGACCATGGCCTGGCGCTTGGGTTGATTCGACAAAACTGCAAATGCTGAGGCATTGCTCAGGACGCGATCGATCCGGGGTCGGGCGCCCAGAGATTGTCGAGTCTCCAATCAACCAACCAACCAATCAACCAACCAACCAACCAACCAACCAACCAACTTCCAGACTTTGTGCATTTCGCTGTTGGCTTTTGAATCCCCCCAAACATTGGGTTTCTCTTTTCGAGCCTGGGGTTCCGTTGAACTTCCTGGGGATCCGTTTGGCCAATGCCATCACCGCGAACAAAAGTGAGGGGACAGTGCCAGTTCAGATATCCATCCGGAACCGCTTCGCATCGTCAAAGAAGTCCCGGGTCTTTGGCTTAACATCGGGGCTCTTGGGGTTGCTGGCGTCGGAGCAAAACCGGATTCGGACAAACCCGGCCATCGAGGGATCGGTTTGACGCAAATTTGGGGGGAGAGTTCAAAAGGTAGGAATGGTGCCTTCCCTGTAAATACCAACAAACAATGATTTCTCCGGATTTCCAAGTGGTGCAGGATTTCGTCCATCCACAGTAGGACGGCTTGAAAGCAGCCACGGTGGGACACGTAGGGCGCTGCTTCTGAGGCGCAAAATGGCGCATTTTGTCTCAAGCCTCAGGAGGAGTGGAAGAGGGGCTTTGCAACTGCAGCTGAGCCTCGAGAAATGCGATCTGTGGTTAGTTTGGGGCTGGGACATTTGGAACTCACTAGATGTCCAGCACACATTTTCCACGTCCTCTAGGCATATTTTGGGATTCGGAACTTGTCTTGGAGACAAATATCTTGGTGACATCCTTGGTCTTTCAATTCTTTGCCCAGTCACCCGAGAAAGGAGCCCAACATCTTTGTTCTGGGTCAGCTTGAGAGACAAAACCTCATATGCATAATTTATGGCGAGCTCGCCTGGGGGGCAAAACGCGCTCCCTTATTTCAGGTTTTAGACATATGGGCGTGGGTCAAACATAGATACCCAACATGGAACCTGGTACATGGAACCAAAGAGTAAAACCTGCGTTCCCCAGTGGCTTAGTTCTGACCCATACTCATATCGTAAAAAGTTCGGGTGACGCCCTGCAGTTCCCTTCTTATCCTCCCGGCGCGCCATGCGCGCCGTGCGCCGGTGCTTGCCAGCGAGCGCGCTGCTGGTGTTGCTGGGGTCAAAGGGTGTGTGCCCGGGAGCCCGGAGCGTGGCCGGGATCGACTGGCCAAAAACTGCACGAGTTTTTTTTTGTTTGCTTCATGTGTGTGTGTGTGTGAGTGTTGGGTTTGGTTCAAAGCCGACCTTCCCACCTGTTGGTTGTCCGTTGTTGGCAACCACTTTTGGTACAGGCCCCCAAAGGTTGTCACCTTTATTTCTTGTTCCCAGAGGGGCAAGTGAGTCTTCAGCGTGGGCTTCGTGGCTTCGCTGCCCTTCTTCTGGGCTTTGTGTGAGGGCGCCCTTGAGATGCGCAGGGGACCATGATACTGTGGATGGCTGTGGGTCAAAACCCTGCACGATGTTCATCCACCTCGAAATGGAGCCATACTGTGGATGGACACAGTCCTGCACCACTTAAGCAACCCTGGAATAGCGATTTCCTTGTGAATACCAACAAACAATGGTTTCAACCATGGCTTCCAAGTGGTGCGAAGTGGATTTCGGCCATCCACATTCTGGGTATAGTTCCCCGTTTTTTTTTTCCCCTCCGCAGATCGGTACCTTTGTTTTTGCTCTGGGGACATGGGAGGTTTCATAGGTTGGACCTCTTGCGAGAACCATTTGGTCGTGAATCTTGATCAGAGACCTTGGCCTTGGTGGACGCCATGTAGGTGGGGAACCGTGTCAAAAGAAAACGGGCCGGACCTCTTGAAGATGCCAAAAAGTCTGGGTCGATTGAAGCCAAGCAGAGGTCTTTTGCCGACGTCCCCGGAGGTGCTGGCGGAGGAGCGGCGGGCGGGTGGGCCCCCTGACTCCTGGCGATGCTCAAGCTGCTGAATGTTCTTCTAAGGGTGCCTTCACCATTCTTTCCATCCGGTTTTCGAAAAGAAGGCTGAGAAGAACGGTTGGAATCGTCCCCTTGTGAGCTTTCATCTACGCTGTCAGTTGATGCCAAATGCCAATGGTGCTGGCCAACCAGGGAAACCGTTCCGAAACGCATTTCTGTGGCTTTTAGGCAAAGGGCAAGCTGTTGGGTGCTTGCCAGCTGTTAACAGCCTGAGCCCCTTTTGGCAGTTAAAGCATTGAGATGAGACTAGGCGTTGGTCTTTGTTGGCTCCAACAAAGAAGGCCTTAGATGCGGCTGAGGAAATGAGCCCAACTCCAGCGGCGCCCAGCTTGAGTACGTGAGTTTTTGGCGAGGGTGGCTGTCCAATTTTGAGCTCAAGAAGGGGTTTGCTGATCGAAGCTTCACTTTGTGTCCATCCAGAAATCATTTGTGATGGGTCAAACTTAAGCCATTAGGGGACCGCAGGATCTAGTCCTTCTGTCCATTTACGAGGGTTCCATATTCAGTACCTGCTTTTGACCCACGCCCATTTATTCATGTGTTCTGCCGGAATTGTAGCAGGCTCGCGTGCTTTCCTTCTGTCTCCTCCCAGGTTCCTGGCTTTCCGTCTTCCCTCTTGGCTTTCGCGCCGAACAGCTGAGCTTTTCGCTTGCCCCGGGCCTCTTGCGACTTCAGGTCCCTGACAAACCTCACGGGTTCGGCTTTCCACAGAGGGGCACCCATTTGTGCTTGGCTGCCGTCGGATTGGATCTTTCACCGTCAACTTTTTCGTTTGTTGAACATGTGTGTTTCGCCACTCACCAGTAGGTCAAAGACCAGTCGTCTCAAGATGGCAGATCTTCCATTCTGCGACCACATGGTGATCACGTTGGACCTCTACACATGGACCCCTCTACACATGGATGTGGCTCAAAATTTGCCACAGCTGGGGCAAACCGCAGTTTTTGGTCCACGTTTCCACTTACTAGGATTCATTCTACCGGTTTTGGGGCCCCAACTACATGGGTGTGTCAAATTGGGGACCCTCCCAAACTGGCTTCGGTTATTCTTTTGGTTTGTTTTCTTTTTAAAGCCCAACCCCCCCAAAAGGGTCCTTTCAATAAAAGACGAGCCACATGGACGGTCCCCACGAATGCCCCCTCGCAGCCCATGCCTAAGCTTCGGCGAGCGCCAGGTGGCCGCCGCGTGCCGCGCCTGGGGCGCGCCCATGGCACGCCAGCAGCTCAGACGCCTCGAGGGGAAAGGCGCGGAGTTCGACGGCACCGGGGACCGGCGCGAGGAGTCCGCGGGAGTTTTCGCGGAGCCGAAAGAGGGAAACTTCTCAACTCTGAACATGTTTGAGTCGCCCAGGGTTTCGGAGCGCGTTGCCCTAGTCTTTTTGGCCAGACGCGGCCAAGTAGGGTTGCTCGGGGAAGTGCTCTTGCCCCAGTAGTGTGCCAGGAAAGTATCCCAATGTGCCAAGTTTATTTGTTCCGGTCACCGACAGTGGTATGGTGTTGGGGATACCTGGGCTTGCTTTGTTTGACCTGAAGGGAAGCCAGAGGGGATGGGTGATTGGTGAAGAGTTACACCCTTGGTTATGACCAGAAGTCTAAATGTAGGCACTTCGCGGTGGGTGCTTGTCCTTTTTCCTGTGGGAGGGTCCTTGTCAAATTGACGACCTCTGGAGGCCTGGGACGCAAGTTGGTTCGGTCCACATTTTTTCCCCATTGATCATTTCTGGCACCCGTTTTGGGCCGTACCTTTTGTGTTTTTCAAGGTGGACATGGGAGTTTTCTCGCTTCATTCCAGCAGCTTCCCGTCGGAGAGAGCCGCAGTGCGGCATCGCGCATCCTCCGCAGAGAGCGGTCTGCGGCTTCATTCGTTGGTTCTCGTGCTGGGCCTTTTCTCCTCAGGTCAAGACATGTTTTTACGGAGGACACCGCTCTGGGTGTTTTTCTTCGGGGACCCTTTTGTGAAAGGGACACGAAGTGGAAAGTTACAATTTTAGGGGTCTCCCAATTTTGACACACGCCCAAATGCGCCAGAATCAAAACTCGGGCAGATGAAGATTAGTAAGGGGCAATCCCAACCATATATGGCTGCGGCCGCCTTCTTAATCCTTTACATAGTTCTGGGTAGATCGTTTTAATACCGGGTTGTGATTACGGCTCAAATGTTGCGTGCTCAGAGGTCATACACAAAGTCGTTTCATTCCATATGCAGGTATTAAGACGTTTCGGGTTCACCCATTTCTCATTAAACATCGATGATGGCATGTTCCATTTGACGGCTTGGTTTTGGGTTACGCTTCTTGGAGACAAACGCCAACCCCTTTTGGAGACATGGTCACTTTTCCGGGGTCCCCCGATTTTATCAAGTCATTGCATGTACTGTGCAGCCATCAATATATTCACTTTCCATATTTTGGTTTTGTAAACAAAACAAAAGCAGTAGTCTACCATTCATTTGGGATCGACGTGGGGGAACGAGCTCTGATTTCCCCCAAAGAAACCAGGGGCCAAGCACTAATGTTCCCCCGTCCTTTGGGGGGAACCTTCGACATTTTAATCGCGGCTCATATCTATGTGTGCTATAGTCATCATCAACTCCAGAGACTTAATCCATTGTAAGGGCGAAGGGAACCATGCAAGGCATGTACCATACAGCCCCGGATGTATAGCCCCTGATTGATTCATTTGGGGGGGGTGTCCCCCTTTTAGTGGGGATTCATCACTTTTGGAGGGAACACCCCCGTGGCAAAAAGGCATCTGACACAAACCGGCCTCATGACTCTTGTGTTTTCACATCGTCCCTTTCTTTGCTTGATGGTATTTCTCCTGGGCTGATCCAATTCTACCAGTATGCTTGTCCTGCATATGGCTATTATTGTGGACGATACATCACCCACGCTTTTTTGCCTCACTATGATGTTTGCCAATCATGATGGAGCTCCTTTTGTCGAGTCCACTTCTACTTGTACTTGCTCCACACTGCATTTTACCCAAGCCAAACTCTTTTTGTTGGACTGCTCCACATGGTCATGGCTGCGGACAACTTTACATGACAACGCGTTCCTACGTCTCCCGATCATGATGGTGGTCTCTGGAAAAACCACCCCAACCTGTGCTTTCTCCTCGTTGCGTGTGCCCAGTACTGCGGGCACCGATACCGACGCTCTCCTGCTTCACTATGATGCACGACCATGATGGCCATGTTGGCATCAGTCCTCCACAACGGGGCTGGCCGCGGGAGCTGCCAAACAGGCTTGTCGGGAGACCGCGGCCATCGCGCAAGTCACGAATCCCGTGCGTCAAGGGGATAGGTGAAGTTCAGGATGTTCTCTCGTGCGTCTCCTGACAGGAGAGTCGGCTTTGGGCTGGCTGAAGCAAGAACCCCGCACGAGGAATCAACATGACTGCTTGGTTCGAACCCAACCAAACTCACCAAACTCAGCAAACCCACTAAACCCACCAAACCAGACCTGGCTAAGCCAAATCCATCCAAATCCTGGGGTCATTATTTTGACCGTTTCTAGGGGTCATCAAAGTCAGAAAATGGAATCGGTTGTTTCCCTTTAAACTATCACTTAGGGGGTGACTTTGAACATGCTAGAATAATGAGGCCAGTGGATGGGGGTTTCCATTAAGTGGGGGATGATCCCGGGTTTCCATTAAAGTTATTCACTTTTAGCAGGGGATCAGAAAACGGACAGCCCAGGAAACCACCTACAGTTTTTCAGACCCTTTAAAAGTGGCGGGTCAGTACCCAAAGTAAAGGAGTCATGACCAACCCGTTTTTTTTGGGTCAGAAGGAGACTCGCAGACCTGACGAATCCAAACCAGGGCTCCGAAGCGCGCCGCGGCTGCCGCAGCTGCGCTTCTTCGCCCAAGAGCTGGACCCCGAGCTGCTCACCGCCGCTCGGTGTCCGCGAAAGGGCCGCCAGCCCGGGGGTTGAGGCGGGCGTTTTTTTTTGTTAAACCTTTTGAGAGTGAACTCGGATTGGTCCTGAAAGTGGTTTGGTGCTTGACTTTCATTTTCATGGAGTGGCGTTTTGAGTAGAATGCTCCGGAATCCGAAGCTGGCACGGCGCCCCTCTGAGTCTCGCGGGAGACTCGTGTCTCCATGATTGATGGGACCTGAGAACGAAGCCGTGTGGATCTAGGCCAATAGAAAAGGGCTATGCTTTTGGTCCGGTTCCGTTTGCACGGGACACATTGGCAGCCCTCTTGTTCGCCATATCCCAAGCGAGAGAGAGAGAGAGAGAGAGTGTGAGAGTGAGACGCCGGTCACTTGGTATTTACGACATGTATTTGTAGCATGATGTTAAGTCCATGAACGACTAAGGACAAGTAGTTCTAACAAAGATGACTGGCCAACTTAGTGGTTGGCCTCGCATTTTTGTGCAACAATCACTGCAAATGGATTTCGCCATCTCCACTGAATTTGGGAATCTGCATTGATTGAGGGACATTTTACAGTACATTTGCCTGCGTGGTTTGGAAGGGACGTTTCGCCACTTTCCCAACAAGGCTTCAGCCATCGCCAAGCTTGTCGCCTGTCAACTTTGGATTTGCGGATGTCAGGCAGTCGGAAGGTCGATATGTGAGGTGGCTATGGTTGGATGTAGATACCCGCTCAACATGGTATGGCGACACCTTTGTGAGACAGATGTCCATAGGGTTCCCTACATTTGCCCTAGGGTGGCTTTATTCACAGTTCGGGGAGGCCGATATCACACCTTCGTGTGACAACACTCTCAAACAATAGAGGCCTCTTGGCGGATGGTGTATAAATGCTCGGTCCTGTAGACAGGGAACATCCGTTTAGGGGGTTTCGTGCCACTCCAAAACCGCCTTTCGCTGCTTCGAAGGACCTAGCTCCAGCGCCCAGCGGTCCCCTCAGGGTTTTCATTTTTTTCGGTGGGTTTGGTGGGTTTTTCGAATGGCGTTTCCATTCGGTCCACCTAGGTATTTCAGTTTTTCTTGGGTCTCGCGGGGCGTTTCCATTCAACCCACTTTTAGCCGTTGGGATCTGCAGCCAGCGAACGTTCGCTGGGCGTTGCCGCTGAGGACCTCGCGGCCTCCGGCGAGGCATGGAAGAGGGGCCGAGCGGTCGAAGTTTTTTGCCAATTCCTGGAGTCTCCATGACCCTTAAAAAATGGGGTCACTACCCTAAATATTGGGTTCATGGACCTATTGTTAAAGGGTCATGGAGACTCCAGGCACTTAAAAAGTGGGTCCATGACCCCATTATTTCGGGTAATGCCCCGATTTTTTTAAAGGGTCGTGAAGACTCCAGGTACGATCTTGACGTGAATTGGTTGCGAAGGTTATCCATCCCCACCGAGGAAGGCGTGAAGGTGCCAAGTTCTTTTTTTTTCCCCAACAGCTGAAAGCTTTGGGGTCTCAGCCCAGATAGGCTCCGGGGTGGTTCGGGGCGACCCTGAGCTAAGGTTCCACCAGGGTTCCACCAGAGGTTCCACCAGGGTTCCACCAGAGGTTCCACCAAAGTTCCACCAGGGTTCCACCAGGGTTCCACCAGGGTTCCACCAGGGTTCCACCAGGGTTCCACCAGGGTTCCACCAGGGTTCCACCAGCGTTCCCAGGTTCTGCAAGGGCGGGGTGGTCTGGGTGGTTTGAGGTAAGGTTCGAAGAGACCCGACAATTGACAGCAGGCCAGGTGCGGCGGCGAGAGAGGCGAGTGGAGATGATCTTCACTCCGCGCTTGGCAGATCTTCGGCAAAGGACGCGGTAGCGCCCTTGACTGCTTCCAAAGCAATGGCGAAGAAGCCCGAAGGGAGTGAGGTCAGACTGCACTCGGCGGAGCGGGTTGCTGCGAGCCCGGTAGAAGGTCACTTCAGGACGCTACCGGATGCTTCGACGGTGGATGCGTTCCTGGCGATGTCGAAGGTTCGTTAGGACTCAGGACGCTAGGAACTCTCGAGAGTCGAGAAGGCGCAGGTATCGACCGCGGAGAGACGAAGATCAAGATCGGAGGAGAGACGATCGTCGGGATCATCGCGGTGATGAATCGCTTGATTGGGACCGGGATCGAAGGAGGGACGATCGCAGGAGGTCCGAGGTAAGGTTCCACAAGGGTTCCACCAGGGTTCCAGCAATTTCTTCGAGGGCTGGGGTGGTCTGGTTTGAGGAAGGTTCCACGAGGGTTCCACCAGATTTCCACCAGAATTCTGCCAGGGTTTCACCAGGTTCTGCGAAAACTGCAGGGTGGTCCGAGGTGGTTTGAGGTAAGGTTCCACGAGGGTTTGACCAGGTTTCCACCAGGGTTCGACCAGCCTGTCGCTCCATACAAGGGTTCCACCAGGGTTCCACCAAGTTCTTCGAGGGTGCGGCGTGGTCCGGGGAAGGTTCCACGAGGGTTCCACCAGGGTTTCACCAGGGTTCCACCAGCGGTCCGGGCTGGTTTGAGGTAACGTTCCATGAGAATTCCACCAGAATTCCACCAGGTTTTGCAAGGTAAGGTTCCATTCCAGCACAGTTCTAGCAGGGTCCCACGAGGTTCTGCGAGGGCTGCGGGGTGGTCCGGGGTGGTTTGAGGTAAGGTTGTATGAGGGTTTCAGGGTTCCACAAGATTCTGCGAGGGCTGTGGGTCCTGAGGTTTCACAGGGTTCCACAAAGCTCTGCAAGGATTCCACACGGGTTCCACAAGGCTCCACAATGCTCCACCAAGCGTGTGTTGTGCGCCCGTCGTCTGAAAAGCCATCGGATCAAGATCGCTTTGCTCATGGGCGGAACACTAAGCAAAACCGAAATCAATGGTTTTTAGCGCACTTTCACTGTTTTGTGACTTGCTCACCTGCTCAGGCAAATGTTGGCTTTGTCGCAAATCAGATCACGTCGCTGCGGAACTCACGGTGCAGCAGAGTAAATGCTTGGCATTGCTGCTTGGTGGGTGGGTTCCAAGAATTCCACGAGGCTGCGAGGGCTATGAGGTCAAACACCAAATTCTGCAAAAGCTATGGGGCAGCCCTGAGGAAAGGTTCCAGCAAAGTTTCACGCTGAGCTCCACGAAAGTTGCGTGAGAACGGTTTGCGAGGTTCACCGGGCCTAGGTCGGGGCCCGATTGCACTGTCGGGGCCTTTGGGCCCGATCGGCCCCGATTGCGCCATCGCGCCCCGATCGGGGCCCGACTCAGTCGGGCCCCGTCAATTGTACCAAGCTGGCATCGCCTAGTTTTGCTATAGATACAGTTGCAATCCGCATACTAAGGAAAACCGGCGTTGAGCTATAAGATGGGTGGCTGGGGGTTGACGATCGGGGCCCGATTGCACCGTCGGGCCCCGATCGGGCCCCAATTGCACCGTCGGGCCCCGATCGCGCCCCGATTGCACCGTCGGGCCCCGATCGGGCCCCGATTGTGCCGTCGGGCCCCGATCGGGCCCCGATTGCGCCGTCGGGCCCAAGCTGGCATCGCCTAGTTTTGCTATAGATACAGTTGCCTTCCGCATGCCAAGGGTCACCGGCGTTGAGCTATAGTAGGGTTGCCACGGGACGATGGGGGCCCGATTGCACCGTCGGGCCCCGATCGGGTCCCGATTGCGCCGTCGGGCCCCGATCAGGCCCGAATTGCGCCGTCGGGCCCCGATCAGGGCAAGATTGCGCTGTCACTCGTAGCTTTGCTTTACAAGGCGGCATCCTCAGCAACACCGGCGGTAAGGATGGTCCCGGGGCGTTCCGCGAGGATTCTGGGAGTTATTTGTTCTCTTGTTCCCCAACAGCTGAAGGGTTCCACCAGGGTTCCACCAGGGTTCCACCAGGGTTCCACCAGGGTTCCACCAGGGTTCCACCAGGGGTCCACCAGGGGTCCACCAGGGTTCCACATGCTGGCGGGGATATCACCTGAGCTTATTAAAGGAAGGCGGGAAGGGCCGTTGTTTGGGGGATCTCGTTTCCTGTTTTCGCCTTTTCGTGTCTGTTTTTTGAGTGTTTTCCGAGTCACCAGCAGGTGGCTTTCGCTGGCTTTCGGCGGCTTTCGGCGGCTTTCTTCGAAACCCAACTCTCAGCAGACCCAATCCTAAGCCAAGCCAACCCTGCGCAACCCAAAGCGAACCCTACAACCCTGGACATGTCCAAGCCCATCCCCAACCAACCCTACACCGGCCTTCAAGCAACCCTAAGCCGTCCGAAGCCAACCTTACAACCAAAAGCCAACAACCCGAAGCCCGCCCTCAACCAAGCCGAAGCCGCGTAACCCAGTGCTAGATTCATTATCAAGTTTAGGTGATCGGCAAACCCACCTTACCCACTCCAAACCAACCCCAAGCCCATCATAGCCCCACCCCACACCAACCCTGCCTAAATTCCCCTCAACAGTAGTGGAGGGCCACGCCTAGCAATAAATTGCTTTCATACATACACCCCCCCCCCCTACATTTTTTTTCATCTTCCATCTTCTACCCTTATTCGTTTTCATCATTTTTCTACATTCCTTTCTGTCCATCTCATCCGTGTTTTATCATCATTTTTCCAAAATTTTCGCCATCCTTTTCTCCTTCCTCCTCGCCTCATTCATTTCACCAACTACCCTTCAAAATGTCATTTCCTCAATCTCCTCACCTCATCCATTTCAAAAAAATAAATTTTGCAAAATATATTGCAAAAATATTTGTCATCAAAAAATATCGAACTGTCTAAAAACGATTTGTCCATTTCTCGGACAAAAAATAGAACAGCAACAACATCACTCCCCTCCTTCGTTTCATCACTTTTATCATATATTTTTTTAGGCGTGGTCGCATAGCTTGCGAGCTTCGCTAACGCTCGCATCCTCCTTGTAGGATTTTATCTTCAATATATAAAACGCTAAACTTACATTATAATTATAACATATAAGGGTATCAATGTTATAATCATAGTATGGTTTTAAGCCTGCTGGCCATGCGATAAATCACCTCACGCAAAGTCATTTTGCACCTCACGCAAAGCCATTTTGCATCTCACGCAAAGCCGTTTTGCACAAAGCGCCTTTGTAAAAGCCTACTTGATGTCATTGCAACCCAAACTCAAAATCCTTAATCCGTCAAACTCATCAAAAATCCAATTATTAATCTACTAGGTATTTTATATAGGTCACGCAAAGCCGTTTTGCACAAAGCGCCTTTGTAAAAGCCTACTTGGTGTCATTACAACCCTAAACTCAAAATCCTTAATCCGTCAAACTCACTAAGATTTCACAAATTAATTCGCTAGGTATTTTGTATAGGTCTTCTTGCTTATGTATTGTTGGGTTGTCTCCCCATTTTTCCTTGGTGCCCGATGTGCAGTTTCAATATGTTTATTATTCCTGATGTTGCCACAAGTCTTTTTACATAATTCTCTAGGTTTCCAAGTTGTAATGTTATTCCAGAGCCTAGTGCGTTTTCTGTAAGGCATTCCATATTTACAATAATCTACATCTTTAAAATGAAACTCATTCATAAACTCCTGATGTTTCAATAATCCAGTTTGTGGATTTTCGATTACAAAATATTTAGGATTGAAATATTTGATAGTTTCAATAGTTTTTAAAACTATACTATTAGCATATTCGATATTCCTAATTCCCCTAGTTTTTGCTACACTATATTCAGGGCATGGGGGACTACTCCAAATAGAATCAAAATGGTTCCTATCAAATTGTTTATAATCCCATTTCAAAATATCAGTATTTATATCAGCATTTTTCAAGTCTAATGATATCACATTAAATCCAAGCGACTTTGCTATGGTTCCGACGCTTTTTGTTCCGCTAAAGAATTCTAATAAATTCATTTATTAGAATTATTTAGATATTAATTATTCAATTAATACATATACTCCATCATTTTTTGAAATTTTATAAAATTCTAATGTTTGTTGCTTTGGTTGTTTGATTTTTCCTGTATTCAACATATCACAGTATTTCTTTTGCTTTGTAGGGTAGTCGCCCGATGGTCTTCCTATAGATTTTGCTTGAAATATCTTATCGATTTTTTCCTTGTCTTCAGTGCTTTGTTGTTCGCGTTCAACTGGTTTCATTTTGTCATCAATGGATTTCATCATATCATTTAAGTTTTTGATATTTTTACCAATTAATGTTATCTTCTTCATTA